GTCTCACTTTGTCACTCAGGCTGGAGTGCAGTGGCGTGATCACAGCTCACTGCAACCTCCACCTCCTGGGTTCAAGTGATTCTCCTGTCTCAGCGTCCTGAGTAGCTTGGGACTACAGGCACCTGCCATCATGCCCAGCTAATTTTTGTATTTTTAGCAGAAATGGGGTTTCACCGTGTTGGCCAGGCTGGTCTCAAACTCCTGACCTTAAGTGATCCTCCCACCTCCGCCTCCCAAAGTGCTGGGATTACAGGCATGAGCCACCGTGCCTGGAAGACCTGACACATTTCTAAAGTGACATGTCTTCACAATAAAACTAATTTTTAAAAATGCTTTATAGTTAATTAATACTTGCTAGGTCAGTAACAAAATCTTTTCTGCTGTTAGAATCTCAGAATGTAATAAATTAAAAGATTTTTTTTTAAAAAGACTTAATATTTTAGGTTTCTATAATAGCTGTTTCTTTAAATTTAGTATAAGCTTTTTTATTTAAAATTTTCCTTTTTGTACCTTTAAAACTTTTTTTTTTTAATGTTGAAAGCTGAGATACAAACACACACATTATTCTAGGCCTACCCAGGGTCAGGATCATCAATATCACTGTCTTCCACCTCTATATTCTGTCCCACTAGAAAGTTTTTAGGGGCAATAGGACACATGGGACAGTCATCGCTTATAATAACAATACCTTCTTCAGGATACTTCCTGAAGGATGTCCCTGAAACTGTTTTATAGTCAACTTTTTTTTTTTTAATAAGTTAGGAGTGTATTCTAAAATAATAATAAATGTATACTATAGTAAATATATAAACCACTAAAATGGTCATTTATTATCAAGTATTATGAACTGTACATAATTTGTACATAATTGTATGTGCTATACTTTTATATGACTGGCAGTGCAGTAGGTTTGTTTACACCAGTATCACCACTAACACATGAATAATACATTGTGCTGTGAAGGTTGTGATGTCAGTAGGGGCTGGGAATTTATTAGCTCCATTATAATTTTATGAGACCATCATCATATATCTGGTTCATCATTGACCAAAACATCACATTATTTTGTGGTACATGACTGTATACGTATATGTTTGTGTGTGTTTATATACACGTATGTATACATACACACATATGTTTGTGTATATTTGAATCTTATAAGTTGCACATTATAGCAGTGTACCATTACTCTAAAGGCAAAAAACTTCACAAAAGCTGATTTTTAAACTCTAGAACTAAATGTGAACCGTAAGGAAATCTAGGAATTTTCTAATTGGATGTGTGTATGTGTGTATGTACACGTGTGTGTATAGATAGTGGGCTACTAGGCCAATGACCACATCTAATTAGAAAATTCATAGATTTCCCTGTTGTTTACATTTAGTTCTAGAGGTTAAAACTCAGCTTTTGTGAAGTTTTCTACCTCCAGAGTAATGGCATACTGCTATAATGTTTAACTTAAAAGATTCAAATATACTTACAGGCTATGAGTACATTTTATTTACTGTTGTTAAGAATTAGTTAGCCATCTTTACATTTTTAAATAAATAAAACTAATTTGCTTGAAGGCTAAGCAAAGAATATTTTGTTAGCATATTTAATGTTCTTTGTGAAGAACTTTGGCCTGTGTTGATTATATATGTTGTCTACTTAACCTCATCTAGAAGATAATATATGTGTGTCACACTATTTTACAAATCCTTGATATTGTGATACTTTCCTTCTGAATATCAAAATGTGTCTTTTATTTGTTCTTGTTAATGAACTTGTGGCTTAAGTAACCTGCATTTGTTGATTTCCATTTTGTATGTAGGAATAACGAAAATGTGGAGATATGATAACCTAAGATTTCTTATGGCTAGGAATTAAATTAGGACTAGTTCACTCTCTAATTTTAACCCACGCGTTCTTTGGTAAATACATTCTGTTATTTTCTCTTAATAGTTGTTAATTAATAACATTTTTGTTGTAATAAAGGTTCAAGTAGTTGGAGTTACCTGTGCAGCCTGCCCATTTCCATGCATGAATGATCTTAAATTTCCGGTAGTTGTGCTGGACGAGTGTAGTCAGATAACTGAACCGGCCTCTCTCCTTCCCATTGCAAGGTAACCTATGAGATTCTTTCCCCAGGGGTACTCAGATGTCACAATTATATCAAACATTTCTGCAGTTCAATCCTTTACCAAACTTTTGTGAAAATTCTTAACAATTTAAATACTAAACTGATTTTTAAAAAGAATACAGAGGGGAATTTTAGGAGGTTGATATGTTAAAGTTTTATTAGATCACCATTTAGACATTTGGATGACATACTATAGCCCTAGTGCTAGGATTCTAGCAGAAACTTGCAGATTTCTCAACTAGATTAGAAGTGCTCTTTAGGCTGGGCATTGTAGCTCAGGTAGATTACTTGAGACCAGGAGTTTGAGACCAGCCTGGCCAATATGGTGAAACCCCATCTCTACTAAAATTATAAAAATCAGCTGGATATGTGTAGTGCATGCCTGTAATCCCAGCTACTGGGAAAGCTGAGACATGAGAATCACTTGAGCCTGGGAAGCAGAGGTTGCACTGAGCTGAGATCATGCCACTGCACTATAACGGGCAACAGAGCAAGACTCTGTCTCAAAAAAAAAAAAAGTGCTCTTTAGTCATGGTTTAAGAACCTAACTCCATTGTTGAAGAATGTCCTTCAGTTTTCTTACCTTAATATAATCCAAGTGTTTAGGTTTTGTAAATAATTTTAGACGATGAAAACATATAAAGCATATAAAGAAAAACAAATTAAAAATAAAAATTTGTCTACTAAAACTAGAGGACCATGAAATCTTCTAAGCTGTCTTAGCCAATTGAAACGTTGTGCTTTTAAAGCATCTATTATTAAGGAATCCTAAAGGTAATGAAAAGAATACTAGACTAGGACTCAGTAGGTCTGAGTTCTAGCCTATGCTGTGTCCCCATTTAATGAGAGAGTAAGGTACTAACTATCATGGTTTGCTTGGGACTTGGAAGATTCCTGGATCATGGGGCTTTCAAATTTTAGGATGAGTTGGTTATCCTTCTCAGGGGCCAAGGATGAAAGAGCTGCGAAGGGTAGGGGAGTAATACTTGTTGAATGCCTACTATATACTAAACACATTACGTATTTCATTTAATCCTTAAAATAGACACACAAGTTATTATTACCTCCAAGTTACTAACAGTACTGAAGCATAGGCTGGGTGCAGTGGCTCACACCTGTAATCCTAGCACTTTGGGAGGCTGAGGCAGGTGGATCACTTGAGTCCAGGAGTTTGAGACCAGCTTGGGCAACACGGCAAATCCCCGTTTCTACAAAAAATACAAAATTAGTTGTATTTTTTTAGGCATGATAGTGTGTGCCTAAAGTCCCAGCAACTTGGGAGGCTGAGGTGGGAGGATTGCTTGAGCCCAGGAGGTCAAGGCTGTGGTGAGCAGAGATCACACCAATACACTCTAGCCTGGGTGACACAGAGTAAAACCTCATCTCAAAAACAAAAAACAAAAAACAAAGAAAAAATAATAATAATACTGAAACATGAAAGGATTAAATAACTTGCTGGGTCTCTAAAGTATAATGGAGTTGAGATTTAGGTATAGTTTTTTTTTTTTTAATAAAACTTTGATTTTTTTTTTCCCCACTGTATCCTACTGCTATTTAGGAAGACACTTAACTCCTAAGAACCCAATTTACTTCACTTCTAAAACAAGGGTTTAAGCTAAATGACTTCTAAGAAAGACTCTAATTCCAAGAGTTTATGGAGTCTAAAAACCAGTATTTCCCAAATGTGCTCTGTGAAATATTAATTCCATGCAGAGGCAAGGGGCACCTACTAGGTTTTATGTGGGAGGACGATAACTAAATTATGTAAAACAGTCTTCATTGCATAGCTTTTCAAAGCCTTTAATGCAGTTAATAGCACTACTAAGCTTTATTGGTACTCAGGATACTTCATAGCATTTGAATATTTCAAAATACAGTTTTGGCAAACAGCGCAATAAATGATGTTAATGCACTCTTTTTAATTGCTTAGATTAATTTTTGAAATTCTGTTTTAGGTTTGAGTGTGAAAAACTGATTCTTGTTGGGGATCCCAAACAGCTACCTCCTACTATTCAGGGTTCTGATGCAGCTCATGGAAATGGATTGGAACAAACTCTTTTTGATCGACTTTGCTTAATGGTACCTACTGCTAAATTCTTACAGAATTATCATTTATTGATTATACATTGTGTGCATGTGTTGACAGAGAATGAAAATGTTAGAAGACTTAGTCCTGCGTCAAAATAATGTATAATTGGAGTATAACATTAGTTGTACTCCAACTAATTAATAACATTTTTGTTGTAATAAAGGTTTACAAAAAAGTCAGGTGGAACCCTATAATTTAACTGCCCTTTTATAAAGAATTTTTTCCTTATTTACTTGAGTAATGGGTAGGAGTATATGGCTTTTGCTCTAAAACCAAAAAAAACCTATAATGCCTCTATTATCTACATGGAACACTACACATTGCAAATAATTTTTAAATTAATTATTAACATTTTTAAATTGGAGTGGAATTTACTGTCTTAGTCTATTTTGTGCTGCTATAACAGAAAAGCCTCAGACTGGGTAATTTATAAAGAACAGAAATTTATTGCTTATAGTTCTGGAGACTGAGACATCTAAGACCTGGGACTCGCATTTGTTAGGGGCCTTCTTGCTTTATTGTCATTCTGTGGTGGAAGATGGAAGAGCAAGAGAGTGCAAGAGGCCAAACTCATCCTTTTATGAGGAACACACTCGTGATAATGGCCTTAATCCATTAACCCACACACATACACCAAGAATGGCATTAATCCATTCACAAATCCATCCTTTTATGAGGAACCCACTCATGTGATAATGGCATTAATCCGTGAGGATTAGGCAGAATCCTCACGGCCTAATCACCTTTTGAAAGTCCCACCTCTCAACACTGTTGCACTGGGGATGAAGTTTCCAACTCATGAAATTTGAGGGACACATTCAAACCATTGCATTCATGTAACAAAACTATTTCTTAAATTTCTTAAAAAAAATTTTTTTTCTTTACAGCCTGCGGTTTATATAGCAGAAACTATTTTAAAGTGAACAGTTTAGTAGCATTTAGTACATTCACAGTTTCTTGTGTAACCACTACCTCTATCTGGTTTCAAAATGTTTTCATCACTTCAAAATAATCTCCCCTACCCATTTAGCAGTTAACTGTCCATTTCCTCTTCCCTACAGCTTCTGGCAACCACCAGCCTGCTTTCTCTCTGTATGGATTTATCTATTCTGGATATATTATATAAACGGAATCATACAATATATGATATTTTGTGTCTGTTTTCTTTCACTTTTTGGGGTTCATTCATATTACAGCAGTACAGATACTATATTATTATTATTACTTTAGAGTACATTCATAATATTGTACAACCATCACCTGTCCATTTCCAGAACTTTTTCATTATCCCAGACAGAAACTTTGAACCATTAATCAATAATTTCTCATTTCCCCTTCCCTCAGCCCCTAGTAACATCTATTCTACTTCCTAGCTCTGTGAATTTGCCATTCTAGGTGCTTCATTTGAGTGAGTCATACAGTATTTGTCATTTTATGTCTGTCTTATTTACTTAGCAGAATGTGTTCATAGTTCATCTTTGTTGTACCATGTATCAGAATTTCATTCCTTTATAAGGCTAAATAATATTCTGTTACATGTATGTACTGCATTTCTGTTGATAGATATTTGGGTTGTTTTCACCTTTTGGCTCTTGTGAATTATCTGCTGTGAACATTGATATATATTTGCTCAAATCTCTGCTTTCAGTTCAATACATACCTAGAAACGTAATTGCTGGGTCACATGATAATTTTATGTTTAAAGTTTTGAGGAACCACCAAACTTTTTTCTGTAGCAGCTGTACCCATTTTACTCTCCCAACAGCAGTGTACAAGGGTTCCAAGTTCTCCACATTCTCACTAACACTTCTTGTTGGTTTTTGAATATCATAGCCATCTTAATGGATGTGAAAGGGAATCTCATTGTGGTTTCCCTAAAGAGTAATCATCTTGAGCATCTTTTCATGTGCTTATTGGCTATTTGTGTATCCTGTTTGAAGAAATGCCTGTTTGAGTCCTTTGCCCATTTTTTAATTGGGTTGTTTGGTTTTTTTGTTGTTGAGTTATAGAAGATTTTAAAATATATATATTCTGGAAATTAATCCCCTTTCAAATATATGATTTGCAAATATTTTCCTCCATTTTTTTTTGGTTGTCTTTTCACTTTCTTAATAGTATCTTTGGATGCACAAAAGTTCTTAATTTCGATGAAGTTCAATTTACCTACTTTTTATTCTGTTGCTTGTGCTTTTGGTGTTCTATGAAATTGTTGCCAAATCCAATGTCATGGAGGTTTTTCCCAATATTTTCGTCTAAGAATTTTATAATTTTAGCTCTTATGTTGAGGTCTTTGATCTATTTTTAGTTAATTTTTGTATGTGGTATGAGATAAGGGTCCAACTTTATTCTTTTGCATGTGGATATACAGGCTTCGCAACACCATGTGTTGAAATGCTATCCCTTTCCCCCATTTAATTGTATTAGAACCCTCATAAAAAATCAGTTGAGCACATATACAAGGGTTTATTTCTGGACTTTCTATTCTATTCCATTGGTCATTGGCTTGTAGATGCCACCTTCTTACTGTATCCTCACATGGCAGAGAGAGAGAGAACACTGTTTCTATACAAACTATACAACTGTATAAATACTGTGTTTATATAGTTGCCATTCTTGTTTTATTTTCTGGCGTTCATGCTTGGATATCAGATGCTCTCTCAGATCTGTATTCTTTGTTTTCTCAGTACTCTGAAATTATGGTAATGTCTCATCAAATTGATAGGACATCTGAGGCCCAAGAGTATCCCTCCTCTGGAAAAGGGACACAGCTCTTGAGCCTTCATTTCTACTAAAAACTGCCCAGTTCACGTTCCCTTTTTCATTATTATTCTTAGGAACCATTACCATCATATGAATTCTGGCTCACTATGCTGCATTTTCCCCTTCCACCCCAGAATTTTGTTTCTTTCTTGATGACTAGCACTTTTTGAAGTTTATGACATTGGGTTGGCTGTAAACCTTTCTTGGTTGCATAATTGCTGAATTTTTTTGCTGTTGTTTTTGTGTTTTTTGTACCTTTATATATTGGAGAATGGATTCTACAAGGCAGACATTCTTAATTAAGAAGTTCTCCCTTAGATTGAGTTTCAAGTTGCATTAAATTTTGAGTTCAATTGTATTCTGTTTTGTGAAGAATGAAGACTTCAGTTGTCTTGAGCTGTTGTGATTGAATTTAATTGCAAAACTTTCTACTCTTCTGTGACAAGGCAGTGTCCAACTTCTTTTGTATCAGACTTTTTCAAGGGCTTTAAAAAAAAATCTTTAAAAAGGGTTGGGTATGGTGGCTCAGGCCTGTAAATCCCAGCGTTTTGGGAGACTGAAGTGGGAGGATCACTTGAGGCCACGAGTTCGACACCAGTGAGGCCACAAGTTCGATACCAGCCCTCGTATTAGACTGAGACGCCGCCTCTACCAAAATTTTTTAAATAAAAAGTTATTTAAAGTTTTAAAACATTTTTGAAAAGGTAATATAGTCATATAGTTCAAAATTCAAGAGGAACCAGAAAACGTGGAGATAGTGAAGACTTCTTCTCCTGTCTCCCAACTATTAATTCTCTTTCCTCCAAAGCAACTGTTGTCCCTTTCTTGTACATTTCTTGTGATATTTTATACCATTGTAAGAAAATACATAAGATTTTCCCTTCCTGTTTTAAAAATGGTAGCGTACTCTGTATACTGTTCTGGCCTTTTTCATGTACCTATTGTCAATGCCTTTTAAAATATTAAGTAGGTTTTTATTTGGGGGAATTCTAAAAGGGCAAACAAGGGATGAAAAAAAAAGTGGTTCAGTCACAGAGTAGAATAAAAAACAGTTACTGTGGATGAGCTTGATCCATATAGACAGTTCTCAGAAACATAGTGGATGTTGGAAGAAGCAAACGCAAAGGGATAATTGTAGTAAAATGCCATTTATGAGAATTTCAAAAGCACATGAGATAACATGTTATTCATAGATTCATACCAATATAATAAACATGATTCCACAAAACAAAATCAAGACTGGGGTTATTTCTGGGAAAGGTGGTAGAGGAAAGCAATGAAGGAGGATCTTTAGCTATATATGTCATATTTTATCTAACAAAAGAGAGAGCCAAAACAAAAATGACTTAATATGGCTAATGTCAAGTCCTGGTGGTAAGTTCATGGACATAATATTATTTCTTTGCTTTCTGTATATTTGAACTAGTTCACAATTATTAAAAGTAAGAGAAATAAAAGTACTACTCATTACAGAGTAGTAATTACAGACAGTGTGGAAACTGCAGAAAAGAGAAAAGGCAGTCTGGGTGTGTTGGCTTGTGCCTATAATCTTTAATCTCAGCTGCTTGGGAGGCTGAGGTGGGAGGGTTGGTTGAATTCAGGAGTTCGAGGCTGCAGGGAGCTATGATCTTGCCACTGAAAGAAAGAAAGAAAAGAAACGAAGGAAGGAAGGGCAAGAAGGAAGAAAGACAGGAAAAGGAAAGGAAGGAAAGAAGGAAGGAGAGAGAGAGAGAAGAAAGGAAGGAAGGAGAGAGAGAAGAAAGGGAGAGAGAGAGAAGGGAGGGAGGGAGGAAGGAAGGAAGGAAAGGAGGGAGAGGGGAGGGAGGGAAAGAAAGAAATAGATAAATCTGGGTGGGGTGTCAGACACCTGTAGTCCCAGCTACTCAGGAAGCTGAGGCAGAAGGATCGCTTGAGCCTGGAGGAGTTTGAGGCCAGCCTAAGCAACAGCGAGACCCTGTCTCAGAAAAGAAAGAAAAAAGGTAAAAACAAAACAAAACATCTGTAATAACCTCACTGGCCTTAAGAGAAAACTCTTTGTAAGATTTTAGTATTTTTCCTTCTATCTTTTATCCTAGGGTTATATACCTATATCAAATACATGTATTTGTACATAGTTGAAACCATACCATAAATATAACTTAATATAGAATATAAATATAGAGTCTCGCTTTGTTATCCAGGCTGGAGCGCATAAATATAGAGTCTAGTGCATAAATAGCTCTGTCGCCCAGGCTGGAGTGCAGTGGTACCATCTCAGCTCGCTGCAACCTCTGCCTCCCAGATTCAAGCAATTCTGCTTCAGCCTCCCAAGTAGCAGGTTTTAAGGTTCCTGCCACCATGCCTAGCTAATTTTTGTATTTTTAGTAGAGAAATTTTTGTATTTTACCATGTTTGCCAGGCTAATCTTGAACTCCTGACCTCAGGTGGTCTGCTTGCCAAAGTGTTGGGATTACAGGGGGCATGAGCCACTGCGCCCACTCTGAGCAGAGCATTTTTTGTCTTTCAGCATTTTTATACTTGACATTTTTGTCAGCAGTTTCACTTGCTTGCTGACTTGGACTTATTAACTTAGACAAATGTATGCCCCAAAGAGTACTATCATTGATTTTTCCTTTTTTTTTTTGCCATAGAAGATTCTTTCTCCTTGTGGTCATTAATCCTGCATTTAATTATATATGTATTATTATTAGAGTACCTTGTAGCTATTCAAAATGTTTTAACGACACTATAGAACTCTTTGCTCGAAAAGCCCTAAGGTAGATAGGACTTGGATTTTATGATGCATTAACAAAATCTGAAACTTCTTTGAAGATTCAGAATGAAAAATGGCTTTTACTCAATGAGGGAAGTTAATGAGATATCTACAATACCTCCTAATTTTTTAAAGAGAATCTTAGTGTTAGACCAACCCCAGATAAATTATAAAAGGATAATATTGGCTGGGTGTGGTGGCTCACACCATCACTTTGGGAGGCCAGGGTGGGCAGATCACCTGAGGTCAGGAGTTCAAGACCAACCTGGCCAAAATGGTGAAACCCTTTCTCTATAATAATACAAAATTAGCTGGGCATGATGGTGGGTGTCTGTAATCCCAGCTACTCAGGAGGCTGAGGCAGAAGAATTGCTTGAACCCAGGAGGTGGAGGCTGCAGTGAGCTGAGATCATGCCATTGCACACCATCCTAAGCTACAGAGTGAGACTCTGTCTAAAATAATAATAATAATAATAATAATAATAATAATAATAATGTTAGGTGCCAAACTTATTCGATAAGTCTAAGGTTGACATTTTTTACATTTTATAATTTTCTAATTTAATAGTTTAATATGAACATATTTTTAGTAATTTAAAAATATTTTTATTTATAGTCTATTCTATCATGGTTGTAATTCATCTCCTAAGACCACAATATAGCAATATTTTTAATATTAAAAATATAATTTTGCTTTCCCTAGAAGAATAAAAAATGTTATGTTTTAATTTCTTATTTTTCTTCATTTAAATTCCTTAGGGTCACAAGCCAGTTCTGTTGAGAACTCAATACCGTTGTCACCCTGCAATCAGTGCTATTGCTAATGATATGTTTTATGAAGGAAAACTCATGAATGGTGTGACAGAAATAGAGAGGAGCCCTTTATTGGAATGGCTACCAACCCTGTGTTTTTATAATGTTAAAGGACTAGAACAGGTAAATGACATTTATGTTGAAGAGAGTCAACATGGTTTAGGTTCCTGGTTTAATTTTTGTTGTTGTTTGTATGAATTTACTTGTTTTTTCCATAGCCTTTCTGGGAAATATAATTTAGGATCTATTTCTTACTCCAGCTAGAAAGAGATAACAGCTTTCATAATGTGGCAGAAGCTGCTTTTACACTCAAGCTGATTCAATCACTGATTGCAAGTGGAATAGTGGGCTCTATGATTGGCGTGATAACATTATACAAATCCCAAATGTACAAGGTTGGTATCATGTATTACAATATTTGTCATATATTAGATATTATAATTACACATTACCATATTTGATATTACATTTATAGTAGTTGGTTTGGCGCCTGAAAAACTTTTGGTACTATAATTAATGTATTAAAAAAGAAACATTCTGGTATTTTTTGGTCTGGCTTTTATTCTGTATAATTAAATGTAAACTTAACAAGGTTTAATTAAATTTAGTTTACAGCTGTTGTGGCAAAAATGCAACAAACAAATTAGCGGGAAAAAATATGGTGTATGCTTTGTGGACAGATGGGATTGAATCTCTGTTATCCAAAATGTTCTTTTATTATTATTACATTTTATCAGTAAATCAAGGATAGATACAAGATGTTAATGTACACATAAGCCAATTACTTCTAACTAGATTTTTCTTTTTCCTTTTTTCATCTGTTTCATTATTAGTGTATCAGCTCCAAATTAGCATATCTGAATGAGTTTCCCAGCAGTAGATAAATAGCTTTTGATTTTGTGTCGTAAATTAATATTGTCATCTAGTCATTTATCATTTTAGAAACTAGCCCAGTCTATGTGAGTCATAAAAGAAAAATGAAAATTATTTACTATTAGTTAAGTTACAGTGGTTGCTTTGAGCAAGTTCAGTGGCTTAAGTTCTTCACAATCTCTCACTACATGATTGCTGTCTTTTCCTCCGCAGCTTTGTCATTTACTCAGTACTGTAGACTTTGACCATCCTGATATTAAAACTGTGCAGGTGTCCACAGTAGATGCTTTTCAGGGAGCTGAAAAGGAAATCATTATTTTGTCCTGTGTAAGGACAAGACAAGTAGGATTCATTGACTCAGAAAAAAGAATGAATGTTGCATTGACCAGAGGAAAGAGGCATTTGCTGATTGTGGGAAATTTAGCCTGTTTGAGGAAAAATCGACTGTGGGGACGTGTGATCCAACACTGTGAAGGTAAAATAAATAATGCACTCATTTCAAGGTCTAGCTGACTTTTATGGGCTAATGCTTGGGGTGCTTCAAGCAGGAATAGCTCTGAATTTGCCACTGTGGGAAGTAACTGACATGATAATATTGGGACCTCTGTAAAATAAAGAATAGTTGTCTCATGTTATATATATTTATTTTTAAATAATCATATATAAGCATTTAGTTATTCAATGTTATATTTTTTTTAAGGAAGGGAAGATGGATTACAACATGCAAGCCAGTATGAACCACAGCTGAACCATCTTCTTAAAGATTATTTTGAAAAACAAGCCAAAGAAAAACAGAGGAAAAAGAGTGAAAAAAGATAAATATCATTCACAAAAGGCATGGTATAAATATTTTGTATTTATGTAAATTCAGACTCATTTTACACTATTTTTTATTATTTATTACTCTAAACTATTATTAAAAATGCTTTATGATATTTAAATAACATACTAAACAGATATAAAATTTTGTTCTTTAAAAAATGTACAGTACTTATATTAAGACAGGCAGATATTAAAGGTAGTATAAAATCCTACTAAAAAAATAAGTTTTTTTTCTAAGAAGAATGATTTCTGTTTGCTAACGAAATGGATTTTACAAAGGGCAGGATATGGAGAATGCCTACTTACTTCAATAATAAGTGAATGTCTCCAGAGCTTATCTGTTGGAACATATCTGCACAATCAGATTACCAACACCTTTCTAAAACTTTAATTTTATGAGAATATTTTTCAAATGATTATAAGGCTTCGCTATTTTATAAATAAAAACATATTCATAAATATGTGTTTATGTCTAAACCTTTTGAAAAGTACACAAAAGAAGAAAGAAAAGCACTAAAAGTTTACACCTGGAGATAGCAGTGTTCAACACCTGGCCTTGGCTAGTGATATAGATACGTGTAGGTGCTTAATAAGTATCCATTGAAAGAATGAACAAATGAATGAAAGTTACCTTTGGTTCTTTTTTTCCTACTCTTTTTCCTCTGCATTTGTTTGCACAGTAGGTATTGATCTATATATGTGGATTACAACTTTTTATTATAAAAATAATACATTATTCATGTAGAAAATTTGCAAAGTGCAAGAAAGTATACAACAGAAAACGAAAGTCACCTAGAAATACTCTACTGGGAGATAATCACTAACATTCCTTCAGTGTTTTTTCTATGCTCATATTCTATGTGTGTATATATAGTTAAGTTTTAAACCATTTGTGCCCATACTGATTCTTGGACATTATTAACAAAGGAGCATTTATACATCCTAGATGGAAAAATGACAAGGGCTTGATTATAATTAATATCAATGCAATATTTTTACCAATTAAAAAAATCATAGTGATCCACGTCACTCAATATTCATTTGAAAGATGCAGGAAAATTCCTACTTGAATTATTTCACAATAAAAAAAAAATGACTGGTCAGCCTCTATGGAACTCTTAGGGAGAAAAATAAATTCAATAATAAAACTTGTGCTTTAGTCATTCTCCAAGGCTTTTCCCAAATGTGTTCCTGTTTGCAACAACAGTTGCTCTTTTAAGTGTTCATCCAAACTGTGAAGTGAAAGATGTAACTTCTAACAGATCCTTACAAAGCAGAAGGAATAGTTGAAGGAAGTATTACAGAACCGTGCTTTACCCATAAATCTAACTGACAACATACATTTAAACTGGATTCCTGAATTCTGCTGCCCAGACCTCCCTATTTTTTATTTCTTAATTTTGAGTCTGTTGGCCTGCTGGAGCTAGGTCTCAGGTAATTTATTTTCCTCAAAAAGTGTATATAGATGATATATCTTTTAAGGCTTTGTATATCTGAGGATGTATTTCTGTTACATACCCTTTTGAGAGCTATGTAAACACTATGTGAATTGCCCTTGGCTTCACTTACTGCTCATTTGGATGATAGTTGAATTTCTATCTCAGATCTATAGCTGGATGGCTGACTGATTTTGCACTATTCCTAGTCCAATTCCTACCAGCTTTTATCTAGACCTGCTCAGAGGCCCTGGCTCAATGTTCTACACTTGTGCTTGTGCTGTCATCAACTGCTCCCTACCCATAGCCTCTCATTTTGTCAGTTTTCCAGAAATTTCAATTTCTACCATGATGTAGGGAGAGGTCTTGATAGCATAGAGTAATGGCATTTTTAACATTTTTAGACCAGATAATTCTTTCTTATGGGGGGGCTGTGCTGTGCTCTGTAGCAGCATCCCTGGCCTCTGCCCACAAGATGCCAGTGGCACCTTACCCCAAGGTTGTGACAATTAAAAATGTCTCCAGACATTGCCAAATATTCTGATGTAGAGGGTGGGTTCAGCATTCCAGCAATCTCAGAAAGCAGTAACTGCACTGAAAAGTATAGCTGCCTTATTTTTTGGTAGGTATAAACCTTGTATTTTTGATGTTTAATAAAGGATTTTTTTTTTTTTTTAGGCAAGCATGCCTACTCTGTTTCTACTGGCATTATATACCTAGTGTATCAATTTTATATCTTCAATCCAATTATATCATTGTAGCAGTTCATTACTGTTCCTCCCAATTTGTGACAATAATTGGTCAATGAGTGTCAAATATTTATCTTATGTGTTTTTATAGTTATTTTAATGTGACAGAGGCCACTGAAACCTTTTCATTTATTTTTATTTTTGTTTTTTGAGATGGAGTCTTGTTCTGTTGCCAGGCTGGAGTGCAGTGGCACAATCTCAGCTCAATGCAACCTTTGCCTCCCAGGTTCAAGTGATTCTCCTGTCTCGGCCTCCCAAGTAGCTGGGATAACAGGCACCCACCTCCATGCCGGCTAATTTTTGTATTTTTAGTGGAGACAGGGTTTCACCATGTTGGTCAGGCTAGTCTTGAACTCCTGACCTCAGGGGATCTGCCTGCCTCAGCCTCCCAAAGTGCTGGGATTACAGGTGTGAGCCACCACACCTGGCTCCTTTTTAAACAGGAACACATTGAAATCTTTAAAAGAACTTTCCATTCAACAACATTCCTCTTGTTTAGAACATAAGAAGTTAGTATAAATGTTATGGTGTAGAAGGTGGCAAAGAGATTGACAATATACTATGCTGCTATTTTTGCTAAGAGATTAGCCCTATCTTATAGCTACATACCTATTATTTCCCTGTTTCTAATTTATAGCATATTGTAATTAACAGAAAATTAAAACTCCATTAATAGAAAATATTGGTTTTGCAGAACCCCTTTCCATTCTTTCTAGCCCACCTGCATAGCTCACTAGATTAAGCACTGTTTTACACCAGGAACTTTAGAAAAGAAAAAGTAACGGTGGTGCGGAGGAAGAAATGGAAATGGTTTAGACTCTGTTTCCATGCTGCCCCCATTCCATTAGTTTAGGATGGAGATTCCCACGTAGGGGAGAGGATGGAGAGGCTTTCTTTCACTCTGGGTGGACCTCACTCCATAGTGGATATGGTATTAATACTTTTGTCTCTGGTTTTAATCTTTCCCATTGTGGATTGGGTCACAGAATGTCATCCCAAAGTATAATGTCAGCTACGGCAGGCCTGGCTTTTATCCAGGAGTCAGATCTTAGTGCTCCTGCCCTAGCTCCTGTCCATTAGAGCAGAGTCTTCACTCATTCCTTTTTCCCAAGGCTGTTACAACAGAAATGAGGTGAGAAACAGCTCTCACTTTCTTATTTCCTTCAAAGAACCAGTAAGGAAGCGGGAGATCTAAGGGCTCATCTACTTTATCTTTCTTAAAGAGATTAATAAATCAAAACATTCTTCTGATTGGGTGGTATTGACAATTGTGGAGTTGTTTTTGGCTCCATCATATATTTTGAGTGAAAACATACTGTCTGAACCCTGAATATTAATATGGTCTTTATATGTATTTCAGTGAGAAAAAGATAATAGAAATATTTGACATAAAAAAAAATCTCCAAAGCCCAGGCTAACACATTTTTTACTTTTTTCACCTCAAATTGCAAGGTTGGAAAGATACAAATTGAACTTTAAGAAAAGAAGCATCCCATTCAATAAGCAATCAAAATATTAAAGTTTCTTAGGATTTTATAATATACTCAAAGTAATAAGCCAGTTTTACAATTATAGCCATAAAATATCTATAGATAACAATAATCTTAAAACAATGTCTCCCAACTTGTGTTTAGTAAATGATAGGATTATATAAGAATGTCTTCAAGATTTTAATTACATATTGAAATAGAATGAAATTTCTAGGCTTTACTCATCATTAATTGCTTACTTTATATAGCATGTGTATTGGATTTTTTTGTTTCAAGATTTTGTCACAAACATTTGCCCCAGTGGGGGTATAGGTATTTTCCCTATTCTGTAAATGATTAAGCCAAGGATCAGGGAAATTGAAGTGACCTACCTAATCTACCATGACTAGTATAAGGCAGACCTGGAACCCAAGCTAATCCAACTCTGAGGCTAGGCTATACTGTACCACTTGTATTGTAAGTCGCTTTACCAAAAGGGTGAAAGACAGTGAAACCAGAAATGTTACAGTCCTCTTTGAGCCAACTAGACTCATGTCCTGATCATTTATCTTAGTTAATTTAGTATGTGACCATTTATTAACAATTTATTTGTTTGTTGTTGTTTTTTTTTTTTTTTTTGAGACAGAGAAGTGGGGTTTTACCATGTTGGTCAGGCTGGGCTCGAACATGTGATCTGCCCTCACTAAGCCTCCCAAAGTGCTGGGATTACAGGTGTGAGCTACTGTGCCTGGCCTATATGTTGAACAGCCTATACCTGCCTGGTAAATATAATTTTTACTAGAGAAATGGGTTTGTTTATTTCTCTTTGAATGCCTACATTTGCTACTATGAGATGTAGTTTGCTACTTAATGCAAGAGAAGTATTGATTTTTAACAAAAATGTATTTATAGCTGAACTGATGATTCTTTTTTTTTTTTTTTTTTT